TTTTTGTAACCCATATTGGCCCTACAATGTTTTATAAATAAAGTTGGATTCCATGACACCAATGCAGTATGATGCTATATGAATGCAAGGAAGCACATAAGGACATAAGGGTAAACAAATAAGGATAACCTAGGTTTGCAACGAGCATGGAGCCAAAGGGTATACCCATTCACAAAGGTCATGGACTAAAGGTTGATTGTACCTGCAGAACAAGGTTCTAAAGGGACTCAAAATCATCAGCGCATCTTTCGGATATTATCAATTTCCCAATTACTCGGTGATTAATAATATTCTCAAGAGAACTTCTTTTGAGTGTAGCTTCGTGTAGCACTATTTTGGGAGCACTCCCTCATAGTCCCGCACTACATCCTAATAAAGGCCAAAGTGGGGTTAAAGGTAACTACGGTCCTCAATATCATAGGCTCCAAGGTCGAAAATAGTGAGTGTCTTCACGATTACTCGTTCAACAGTACTATTTCGAGAGGGCCTTAATTGAGCGGGATTCTCGATTTAACTTAGTCGGGATTCAACTCCCTATAAGCCTCCTCGAATATATCACCATCCTATCTTAATTTCTCTCAAGTCCGGGTGTAGGACTTTGTCTCACCACTCAAAGATAACAACCTAAAAGAAATAGAGAACAAATATACAAGTAAATAAGTAAGTAGATATAAAGCAATAAACAAGGAAAATAAAACAAGATAGGGAAACCCACTAGAGGGTCCCCAGTGAAGTCGCCATTTCTGTCGCGGTGAAATTTGGATACCAAACTATTAATTAGCTTGAATCTTTAATTCATTTGCAACCGGTCTTTGATTTGTCCAAAGGAAGGGATAAAGATCGAAATTCCCACAATGCAATGCACATGCAAAGGTTAGAGAGTTTTAGGTTCGGGGGTTGGTTAAACTTAGGGAAGGTACTAGCATCCTAAGTTTCTGTAGTACTCTACAGGGACCTCTTGTTTTATGTTTGTTTATTGCTAAGGTTATCTGTTTTAAGGGTAATGTTAAGGGTTAAAGGTAAAGAGAAAGACCTAAGGGGGTTAGTCCTAAGTATACTCGCCAAGACGTCGCATCTTGTGCCTACATATCCTGACGGGAATGGAATCAGAGTATCTGTAGTTCCCCTAAAGAGTTTGAGGAATTCTTTGACTGTGGTCAAAGTTCCTATGGGTTTAGGGTAGTTGGTTGATTGGGTTTAGAAGAGGTGATGCGTTGTCATTTTAAGGGAGATGTAACCGCCACAGGTGTAAGAGATTGTTTTGTTGTGGGGTGGAGATTCTATCTCGCTTAAGATGATTTAACATTTTTCTCTAATGTGTTTGAATAATTGCATTGAGTTTTATTGTTTTGTCTAAGTCGTAAAGATAAAGGCGAAGTCTTTCCTATGGGGTAGGATCTGTCCTAGAGATCAACTTGAATGAGATCAAGGATCACATGGGGAAATGATGCAAATGATGCATACGCACGATTGTTGAGATCATGCGCAGATTCTTCCTTTGGACGTGGGTAAGCGAAAAAAAGTAAGACAAATGATAATTGAGCAATGATTAGCCATGGACTAGAGGGAATGATTAAGTGGAATTGGTGAGATTGTTTTGTTGTTTTTACTTCATTTTATGAAAATTATGATTAAGTGAAAAAAAAATTAATTAACGCAATTAACTTGAATCCTAACCTATCCAAAAGAGCCTAAACTAAAAAAGGTCATATTAAATAAAAAGGTGTTTTTTTTTTGAATTGTTTGAATAAAATATTTTTAGGTTATTTAAAAAAAAAGATAAGTTATTAAAGTTTTAAAACTAACTAATTAAATTAAATTCTTTTTATTTTTATTTTTAGAGAAATGAGATTTAAAATAGTATGCTAAACAATTCTTATTTTTATAATTATAAGAGAAATATTTTATTATATCATTAAAATATAAATCATGTTTTTTTTTGTATTTTTGATATTGAAAGGTAAATTTGAACTCAAGTCTGAATCAAACTAAATTATATATTTTTGGTTGAAAATTAATTTTAAATTTACTAAATTCGGATTTTTAAGATTAAGTTAGTGTTAGCAGTTAGTTGTTAGTTTTTTTATTATTGATATTTAACAAATAATACAACAAAAACTAATAAAATAAACTAAATGATCGAGAAAATAAGTGGGCTGGGGCGATGGAATCCCCAGACCCGACCCAACCCGGATTGAATGGAAAGGGGAAAAGGGTCAGAAAATTCTAAAACCCTAACCCCCAAATTGAGCGGCGGACCTTCTCACCGGATCTTCAGATCCGTCTCCGATACTTCTCCTTCGTTCCTCCCTCCTTCATTCCTTCTTCTCTTCGATTTTGCTTCGGTTTCTTTTTCTGTTTCCTCTACAAAACAATAACACAACATTAAATTTAAAATAGACAACGATGAAAAGATTGCTCACCCTATCGAGATTTCTCGTAAGATTCCTGATGATGGCTAGCGAATGGGTCTTCCGACAGAGGACGGTGATTCGGCGTCGGCATCGGTGGACGATGTATTGAGGTTTCAACAACGGTCTCCGTCGTAGAGGCACATTGATGGCTCTACAGATAAGTCCCTCTTCTCTAATGAAATTCTGTAATTTGTGAGTGTATGATGTTGAATTCTTGCATGGTCATCCCCTCTCAAATCGATTCCAAGAATCTCCTTTTATAGGCTTCACTGAGTATCTCAGTGTTTAAACTCTGATTGTGTGCCTTAAATGTTGTTTTGGACCTTCTGTTTTGGTCTAGACAAATATTTGAAAACTTTCCTCTTCTGTTTGATTACGTTAGTATGTCTGTTAATGAGAATCCTAATCTGTGTGATTTTGCCAATCACGTTAAATGCTCTGGCTGTCTAGGTTCATTTCCTTGAGTTGGATCTTTTTTCAAACAGGTATATTCCTTTAATGGATTACTAACTCTGAATTATTGTTTGACAGGGGCGAGTCTTCAATGCACTCACATCACCAGTTGGAAGTTTCCTCGCGAGTCGAATGATTGCAGGGTCAAGATGGGAAACAACACTAGACTGAGCAATTTTTTTGATTTCATCGACGTCTCCATCTGAGTAAGCAGCAAGAAACTTGCTAGCGCAACGATTGTGGTCACTTTTGAGAAAAGCTTCAATCTGAGAGCAGTCATTACAACACTTCTCTGCTTGCTGAAAGTCGTTAGTGTAAAGGTAGAGAATAATGGCACTAAGATAAGCCTTGGACTGACTATTGGTAGCATTACACTTGTTAGCTGCCAAGCCCAATCTCAACAGGGAAGATGCGACATCTGTATATTTCTCAACTTTTATATAAACACTAGTTACAGCACGGTATAGATCAAAGGCCATCTGATCCTTATCATCTTCTTCAAGAATTGTACAGGCATCTGTATATAACTGAATAGCTTCTTCAGGCATGGTATCTTCTAAAGCACGGGCTCCCTTTGCAAGAGCATCTGATGCAGGTTGTGGTCTGCCGCACTCCACGTATAACTGAGATGCCTTTTGATAGAAGTCCTCAACTTCTCTCTAGTTGCTCAGCTCCTTGGCCAGAGCAGCAACAGATTCCATGTGCTTAGCCGCATCCCAAGGTGAAGAAAGCATCTCTTGTCCTTGCGAAGCTTTCTCATAAACCAACTTGGCTTTCTCATGGTTCTTGGAAGCTCTAAACCCAATAGCAGCCTGTTCATAAAGACCAGTAGCAGTCTTCCAATCAGCACTCCACCTAGTGAGACTGAGTTTTGTTAGCTTATCAGCTTTGGTTAACAACTCGTTGGGATCAGAAGACACCATGACGAATCTCCCATTCTGGACTACACTGCATTGTCAACAATATGTTCAAGGTTTCATTTACTAGTGCAACATGCATATACTTAAATGCAGCCCCTAATGCCTGTGCGCAGGTTTCTCGCACTGGCGCAACAACCTGATTAGATACATAATCTCCAAAGCGATCAAGTGACAATACACACAAAAAGCATATAACACAGTCATGAAGAAAGTCACAGTTTCGAAGCCAGGAACTTCTAGCCACTTTGACGGAATTCATCAGCTCGCAATTCTGAGGAAGATTTCTCAGCATATTATGGTTTCCAGAGAGAATCTTTTAGTCATCAGAATAACCTTTTTGGTCTGCTATATTAGCAGGTTTCTTGCATGTGTCATGTAAATCATCATAGTGAGTTTCCATATTCATGTCAACGGAACTACCATCAAATTTTCCATTTCCATAGTCCAGAGGTATAGTGCATCCCTGTGTTTCAGAACTAATGATGTTTTCAATATCACCTTCATTACTGCAAGCCATCACGCTATCCATAGACGTTGATAATGATACATCTTCAAGTTTGGCTTCTTCAAGTTCAAGACACAATCATCTGCTGAAACTTGCATATTTAAATCAATATCCCTTTCTCTCTTCAACATATTTGATGTATTTTTGTTTTCTAATTCCATAAAGGAGGTCCCACCCAAGTGTGGGTCGTGTTTCAACACTCCAGCAGAAGCACCTTGATGTGTCAAAATCTCTCTCAATGCCATCACGCTACCATGCCGTACCTCCCAAACAGGATCGAACATATCAATAATAAGTTGCTCGGCAAAAGTACAGAAAGGCCATTGTCCTTCTTCTTCATGCTCAAATCCGTATTCGTCGTGATTAACTGGTGTGAAAGCCTTACTATAATTTACCGAATCAGGACACGTGCCTTTCGAAGTCAAATTTTGAGTGCCTGAAGCCTCTGTTCCATCTTTGCGCCAGCTCTTTGTTTGGTCCTTTGAGGTATTTTTTTTGCTTTGCGCTTTAAAAGATTCAATTCTCTAGCACTCGGCCACTTTGATTTAACACTAGGAATCATATTTGCAACCATTTTCTAAATGTTATGTACAAAACAAGATGTAAAAACTTTATGGTCTATGCCATTGAGATACGAGTCTGATTTGTGTGCCAAAAGATCTTCATCTCTAATGACATCATTGATATCCATAAATTGTTTGCAGACATCTAAACCAAACGACGTCGGAGATTTTGCTTTTGGCGAACCCAACGATCCCTTGGGTTCTTTATATTATCGCTTCCAATATCATACTCCTGCCCTCCTGATGCTAACAAAGCTCCAAATTCAAGCACCTTATTCATATCAAAGCTTCTAAATGAGCTTCCTGTAATTTTCGCTTTTAAATAAGGCCATGCACACAGATCGTCAACACTGCATGATATCTCGCTCTCAGACATTTTTGTTACAACAGAGGCAATAAGTTCATTCAAGCTTATGTGCTTAACATTCTCGGCAATAGACCAATTGCATGAGCAGCTGCAACTCTTGTATCCCATTTTTTTACTGCGCAGATATTGAGAAACCTTCTTAAGAAGACTGGTCAAGTCTTGAGGGTGCAACTTCACAATCCCCCCTATCTGCCGGGCGGCAGTCAACCTTGTTGCTTGGGTTGATCCAGTGTCCAAGAGAGTAAGCAAGCGCTGAAGCCTGGATGACTGTTGGGCCATAACAAATCATTCCAAACGCCTTGTATCTCACTTTGCCTTTAGTATTAAGCACCAACTATCAAATATGCTATCCAACAAACACATTCAGAAATACTTTTTAGCAACCAATACAGTGCATCAATAGACCTCTATGCCTTTAAGTAATTTGTGGTTCCCGTAGAGCCTGTTCGGTGGTAAAGCTTGGCGTCGGAGAGGGAAAAAATCGCCGGCGGGAATGAGGCGGCAGAGTGTGTGAGTCGATAGAGAGTTTCTGTCGATTGCTAGGGATTAGTCCAATCGACCATGAGGATCTACCCTTCTAGGTATATCATCATACTGATATAAATATTCATCATGTGCTGCTCTTAGAAGAAGCAATTAAATATCCAAAAAGTCTCTTTCTTCCAGATTCTGATTGTGTGTGGCTCTTAGGCTGTTGCTGGCTAAACGCATAAGGCGGATGCGCATCAAAAGTTTGAAGTTCAGATTCTTCCTGCCTTGCAAAAGAGAACCTTGATGTAACTTAGTGATAAGAATCTTATGTCTTTTTGGTGGTCCTTGTGAAATCATGATCTAAGGCTTTGTAACATGTGATCTCATTGGGATATACCGTTATGAATCTGAGCTTGTTCTTGTAACTTGTATGCTTATGAGTCTCTAACAAATCTCTCAACTTTTGTGTGAACAAGAATACATACCTTGATTGAACAAAAAGGCTTATCCTGCAGCGAACGAGGTCTTAAACTTTAAATAGTGAGAGCATGAATGTAATTACATAAATAACGTCCAACTGTATTTATTTAATGAAAACTTCTTTGTGCTTAAAAAAAATGCAACTACCCCTCACATGACATGAATCTTGGAATTGAAGTAGTGCACTCTAAAACTTGATGCAAATCACATGGTGTAATCTCAATCAGATCTTAACTTGCACAAAATTCCTTCGAAGTACGCAAAAGGGTAATAGATCAATTTAAACTTCAATTTGACAGAGCTCTTGCCTACACCCCATCCCGAGTTCCTCCAATTTTAAAGTCTTAAATAACTTTAAAGTCTTAAATCATGTGATTTACAAATTAAACAGTATTCAAAACCTTCCGTCTGACAACTAGTAATCCACTTCCTGAGCAAAATTGAACCGTGTTGAGAAAAGTCTACATCCGCATTGCCATAAGACTCTAATTAGTTCTCCAACAAATATCTTTGAAAATCAATAGACATGAGATCCTAGTCCTCATTGGGGGCAACTCCGGTTAAATCTTTGAGGATATTAGCCTTGCCTTGACTAAGGATCATAATCATAGGAATATGTCTATTCTTCATTTTGATACATCTTGCAAAGATTAGAACCCACACAAGGCCTTGAATCTATTGCAGCGAACCTGTCTTCATAGAGCAAAACAGACAAACTGGTTAAAATGGTTAGCTATGCATGCTTAGACTTAGATGACATGCAACAAAATGCGTAAGGAGGTGGGATTTTAAGGTCAAAAATTAGGGTGCGACAGTCATTTCCATGGCATGCTCTTGTTGCAAAACCTAGATAAACCTACTTAATCTGGTTTTGCAGGCATCCTTGCTTCTAATTCTCAACAAAATATTAGATTTATACATATTAATGATGCATAATCCAAGTGTTTAAGGCATTGTTCAAAGGATCATTCCATTTTGGGCATAAAGATCACATTGCCATTTTGATAAAGTGACTTTAATCACAAAGTCAACTTCTCTTGAGCTCTACATTGTTTCTTCTGCATACAAACTTTTCTTTGAACAGAAGCAAGATCTCTGAACTTTCCAACAACTCTAGGAAAGACTTGTATTATGTCTTGGAACTTCAAAAACTCATGGAACTACACTTTGGATCCCAACCAAACCATAAACTTCACAACTCCAAATCTGGTAAACCCTCAAACTCCAATATTTCCCTATAAATAGAGGCTCATTCCTCATCACAAAACACACAAAAAACATACAAAGAAGCACATAAACATCCCTCACATTAGAATCTGCATCAAACCTTCATTTGTGCCGAAAACCTTCATTTTGCACAAACCGGTCCAAAACCTTTTCTACTAAAAAACCTTCAAACCAACCATTCACACACATCATAAAACACCCAACTAAGGTGTTTAGATAATCATCTTCATCTAAAAAACTTAGAAGAAAAAAGTCAACCTTCAACACCAACTTTGTTGACTTTCTGCATAAACCAAGCCAAATCATTGTCCTGACCTTTTCTAGTCCATCTAAACCTTCAAACATAATCCATAACAATCCCACAAACTATTCCAAGTGTTAATCCTCAAATGTAACACCATTTTCTTGAGGATCAAGTTTTCATTTTTCATATTTGCAAGAGGATTCGAGCACAAGGATTGAAGCTGTTCTAAATCAAAGTAGGCATCCTAAAAGCTTCTTGGAGGTTCATAGAAGCAATTTAGATCATCAACCACCTTCTGGGAGTGAGATTGAAGAGGCATTGGACCTACTCCAATAGGTAAGTCCATTATCTCTGCAACTAGGTGATATTGAAACTCTTTGCATTCATTTGAAATGCCAAATCATTTTCCATCATGTAGACATCATAAACCCTATGCTGATTTATCCTAATCATGTCCATACACAATTTCATTTTTGATTTTTGTCTTAGGGTTCATTCTGATTCAATTTTGGTAATTTTAAATATGTTAATTTTTAGTTAAATTAATTGCTACCGTTGTGTTCTTCATGAAAAATTAAGCGAGTTTCATTTTTACATCATGAAGAAATATTGAGAAATGAGCAAGTTAGGATTTTTAGAAATTTAGAAATGGAGGTTGAAGAAGATGATGTTCATGGCGCGCATTGTGTCATTTTGAAACTGTTTTTAATATATATATATATATATATATATATATATATATATATATATATATATATATATATATATATATATATATATATATATATATATATATATATATATATATATATATATATATATATATATATATATATATATATATATATATATATATATATATATATATATATATATATATATATATATATATATATATATATATATATATATATATATATATATATATATATATATATATATATATATATATATATATATATATATATATATATATATATTTGATATTCCATCATACTCACGACTTGGGCATTGCGCCACAGTGGAGAGACTCTTGCGTTTAAGAGTGTTAGCATCCATAAGGTTTGGGGTTCGAATCTCCCTCGCCCCAGACCTTTTGTTCCTTTTTTATTTTAATGTTTTCAATGTTGGTTTCAAATATATTATGTTACATGTGTTGTATGTTTGGGCTAAGCAACTGACCCAATGGCTAATGTTTTAGCATGTAACCTAGGGCGCACAGGTTCAAGTCTCCCTTGGACCACTTCCATTCTTTTTTATCACATGTACTTTTCATTCTTTTTTTCAAATTTATTTTAATCATATTTCATTAAATATTTATCCTTTTGAGATGATTTTTTTATACCCATTCTTTGCCATGTCTATTTTTATAATCCATAAAAATTTTCCAAAAATAATATTATTTTCACACATTTTTACTTAATCAAAATAAGATATTTTTAAAGATGATTTTAGGTCCTTAAGTGATTCTTTTTGTTTGTTCCTTTGATTTTGCTTGATCATATTTATGTTTGTAAATATCATGAACATTGTGTGAGACTTGTTTGATGTTAGTAGCATAATTCCTTATATTTTTTTACCTAAGTTTAGTGTACTTTAATGCTTGATTTTCATGTGTACATGTCTTGTTTCTTCATGTTTGTTTATGAAACTTTACATTTGACTTTGGCATGATATTTGTACTACTTTGAACCTTTGATGCATGCTTGCTATGTATTTGTACCATTTTTGATCATATGTTCATGGTTTACTTTAACTTTGATACCATGGATTTGTTTGGTTTTAAACTTCATGCTTAACGTGTTTAAACATTTTGAAATGCTTAGACTTGATTGTAACCACAATGAACTTTTGACATGAACCCCTTAGTTGTTACCTTGTGTCTTGAACCATGTCTTAAATTTTATTCATGATTAAATGGTGTATTAAACTTATCCATGATTGCTTGAAATCTTAAATTGTATTCATGATTAAGTGGTATTAGTGTTAACCCTAAACCATGTTAAAATCTTGACCTTAGTTCATCCATGTTTGATATTGTTATATCCATGTTGATTTGAACCCTATTTTGATATTGTTATATCCATGTTGATTTGAATCCGTTGTTTGACATTGTTATATCCATGTTGATTTGAATCCTTTATTGTTATATCCATGTTGATTTGAATCTTTTGATTGATATTGTTATATCCATGAGTCACATGTTGATTTGAACCTTTGATTGATGTTGTTATATCCTTCATATCCATGCTCATATGTTGTTACTTATGTGTTTGTATGATCACATGTTATTGTTATGAAGATGCTATGATATGCCATACTTGTGTTGTTACTTTGGTCTTGTTAGAACCATGTCTTATGTATGCTTTGTCTATGCATCATCCATGCTCATATGTTTATCCTTGGTATTTACTTTGTCCATTTGTGACTTTGTTAAAGTTTTGACTTAGATATTATCACATCTACCTTCATGATTTGGTTGTTATCACGTTCATTTGACTTTATACTTCATTTTATTTCATGTGATCCTTTGATACCATGTTTGAATGTCATCTTTTCCATGAGTTGTATTTGCTTTGATTGATGTCATGTTTGAACACTATATTTTATCACTCTTTATCCTTTAGTTGATATCATGTTTGAATGTCATCCTTTATCATTTGTCATGTTTACTTTGATATCATGTTTGAATATCATTCTTGTTCACCTTATCCATTATCACCCATATACTCATGTTCATTTTGACTTTGTCAAGTCATCCCCTAGTGAGGTTAGCTTGTTAGCCCTCTTCCTCTTTCTTCTCTTTTGTTGCCTAAATCCAAGGGAAAGATCCCTTTTGTTGACTTTATGTCATAGG